AAATGTAGGGAAGGCAGAGGATAGGAGAGTTCCCATGAGTAGAGAGTTTGGGAGAGAAGAAATTGCGTTTAGCACGTGAGAGGGCAGAGTCTATGAAATGGGAAGGGTAGCCAAGATGGGAGAAAGAATTATGAAGAGTGGAAATTTCTGCTGGAAGGAACTGAGGGTCACAGATGCGGAGGGCACGGAGAAAGAGGGAGATAAGAACACTTTTCTTGACAGGGGAAGCATGATAGGAAAAGTAGTGAATGTACATGCCACTGTGCATAGGTTTACGGTAAACGGAAAAGGAAAAACCTGTATCTGAGCGGTGGACATGGACATCAAGGAAAGGAAGCAAGGAATTAGATTCCCATTCAGCTTTAAACTTTATGGAAGGGGCAAGATTATTAAGAGCTTCAAGAAAAGGTTGGAAGAGACTGGAGTCATGAGGCCACAGAGCAAAGATGTCATCCACATAGCGGAGCCAGAGTGAAGGTTGCACATCGAGGGTAGGAAGAAGAACAGTCTCGAAGTATTTCCCACTTCTACCACTACCACTACTACTACCTCTTCTTCTTCTACTACTACTACAACTACTGATGAAATTAAGACACATGTGCGGTGTCTGGTTGTCTTTGTTGTGGACGTTTCGCCATCCAGTGGCTGGCTGGAAGGCGAAACGTCTACGATGGGGATGCCCGGGTGTTGTGCATGTGTCTTAATTTCATCTTGTCGGTATTATATACAATTCTTGTACTACTACTACTACTACTACTACCTCCACCTCTTCCTGCCTATATATAGCTGTCCTGCTCCACCTCTGTTAGTGTAACTTTGTCAATGGTCCAAGTCGGACCGAAACATCGTCGTAAGCTTCTCTCTTTTATGTGCGGGTTATTTGTGTATCCGAAAAACTGGCCAATAACCGGAAGCCGAAAAACTGGCCTATAACCGAGTTGGCCAATAACAGGAACAGCCGATAACCAAGGGTCCACCATACACCGAAACCCACGGAGTCATAATACAGTAGAATTCCGTCCATGCAACAATACAGTCACAATATGGCTGCCACCCCCAGAGAAGCTTATGGTCAACAACATACCCTGACCTGGTCTTAACCATGGCTCCATGGGTAGATCCTTAACATTAGTCATTCTACAATACATATTTACCAAATGGTTGAGGTGTTTTATCAAGGATAATCTACAGTTCATCCTGGTACAGGATGAACTAGATGGTAGGTGCCCTATATACTAGACATCCATCTCTTCTTCCACAGCAGTCATCTCGCTGCTTATATCTTGACGAGTGTTGATCTGAGAGTCAACTCTCGTATATAATATACAAAAGCATAATAGTCTTCACAAGCTAATTATAACGCTTAAGTCACTCAGGTTCTCCATGGGAAAGTGGAACAGAATTCTTCCTCCATAAGCCATGCGCACTGTAAAAGGTGACTAAAATGCTGGGAGCAAGGGGCTAGTAACCCCTTCTCCTGTATACATTACTAAATTTAAAGAGAAACTTTCGTTTTTCTTTTTCGGCCACCCTGCCTCGGTGGGATACGGATGGTTTGTTGAAAGAAAGAAGTCACTCAGGTGTAGTTATGGTGAACACTCGATCCTCTGTACAATAATCGCCAAAGATTAAGATTAACTGAATTATTGTCTTTTACAGGGGATATATTATTTTTCTTCCTCCGTTGGCCACGTGTGTCGTAAGAAGCGACTAAAATGCCAGGAGCAAGGGGCTAGTAACCCCTTCTCGTGTATACATTACTAAATTAAAAAAGAGAAACTTTCTTTTTCTTTTTAGGTCACCCTGCCTTGGTGGGATATGGCCAGTTTGTTGAAAAAAAAAAACATTTTAATATTGAAATTTAATGAAATATAGTAATATATGTTGTGTATCTTTATACGTATATACTTCTAAACTGTTGTATTCTGAGCACCTCTGCAAAAACAGTGATAATGTGTGAGTGTGGTGAAAGTGTTGAATGATGATGAAAGTATTTTCTTTTTGGGGATTCTGGGTCACCCTGCCTCGGTGGGTCACCCTGCCTCGGTGGGTCACCCTGCCTCGGTGGGTCACCCTGCCTCGGTGGGTCACCCTGCCTCGGTGGGTCACCCTGCCTCGGTGGGTCACCCTGCCTCGGTGGGTCACCCTGCCTCGGTGGGTCACCCTGCCTCGGTGGGTCACCCTGCCTCAGTGGGAGACGGCTGACTTGTTGAAAAAAAAAAAAAAAAAATGTATTAGAAAAGTGGTGAGAGTGATGCAATGAAAATGTTGATAGTGATGTAATTACAGGTAGTGCTGATAGTGATATAGTGAGTGTTGATGGTGATGTAATGGAACAGTGCTGATAGTGATGTGCCTTTAACTTCCAGCAGTGTCACAGTACCTGTTCCTCAAACAGCCTATCCCTGTCTACCCTTAACTCCCCAGAGAATTTTTGTATGTTGCAGCCATATCTCACCTGGTTCTGTCTTCCAATGTTGTTAGATTAAATTCCATTAGCCTCTCCTCATAGCTCATACAACTCAGCACCTCGTACTTATTGTAACTCTCTTCTTTCAATGCACCGGCCATATCCCACCAAGGCAGGGTGACCCAAAAAGAAAAACAAGTTTCTCTTTTTAACTTTAGTAATGTATACAGGAGAAGGGGTTACTAGCCCCTTGCTCCCGGCATTTTAGTCGCCTCTTACAACACGCATGGCTTACGGAGGAAGAATTCTGTTGCCCTTCCCCATGGAGTCTTATTGTAACACCTGCACTTATTGTAAGATAAGATAAGATAAGATAAGATTTCGTTCAGATTTTTAACCCCGGAGGGCTAGCCACCCAGGATAACCCAAGAAAGTCAGTGCGTCATCGAGGACTGTCTAACTTATTTCCATTGGGGTCCTTAATCTTGTCCCCCAGGATGCCACCCACACCAGTCGACTAACACCCAGGTACCTATTTGCTGCTAGGTGAACAGGACAACAGGTGTAAGGAAACGTGTCGAAATGTTTCCACCCGCCGGGAATCGAACCAGGGCCCTCCGTGTGTGAAGCGGGAGCTTTAGCCACCAGGCCACCGGGCCACCAACATGCTTTCTCAGGTGTGGGTTCCATGCTGTTGCTGTGTACTCCAAAATGGGCCGGACATATGTTGTAAAAAGGGCCTGGAATGACTCTTTGTTGAGATTCCTGCCAGATGAGCATTGAATACAGAGGTTCTTCAGCTGATGAGCCTCTGGTGTTATACTGGGTGCTATGTTCACCCCTAGGTGAACACAGCACAGTCTGCAGTCTCTGTGTCTGGTCTTCTTGCCCTTTCCCAATCTTTATAACCTTGAATTTAATGGGAATGAATTCAAGCAACTGCTTACCAAATTAACCCAACAGTTTGTCCAGGTCCATTCAGAGCCTTTCCCTTTCATCTGAATCTCTTCTCATTGGTTTTACATCATCAGCAAACAAGGATACATCTGATTCAATTCCATCTGGAAAGTCAGTCACATTAACCAGAAACAGTAAGGGTTCTAATACCTTGCATGGTATGCGTATCATAGAAAGTGGTCTGTAATTTAAAGCTTCATGTCTGTCTTCTTTCTTGGATATAGGGACTACATTTTCTATCTTCCAGATCTTTGGAAAATGTCCAGTATCGATTGATATATAGATCTGAGCTAGTGATTCTGACAAGTGCTTCTGCTTCCTCTCACAGAATCCATGGTGAAACCCTGTCAGTTCCTATTACCTTTGATATATGCAAGTCCTTTAGAAGTTTCTTGATCTCTCCCCAAATTGTGTGTAAGTCATCCAGTACCTGTTAGTGTACCCTGTCTCCAAGGCTTTCTGGTAATGTCCCTGCTGTGTTGAAATATCTGTGGGGCAGGGACCTTTACCTATGGAGGCAAAAATGAGAATGTCCAAGAATATAGTGGTGCTAACAATGTTATATGAAGCATGGAGGAGGCTGGAGGCAGTGGAGACACTGAGTTTGAAGGTAATGTGTGATGTGAATATTATGCAGAGAATTCAGAGCATTTAGATTAGGTGTAGGATTACCAAGAGCATAATTAAGAGGGTGCACACAGAGTATAGAGCAAAATATAATGACTAAGGAGGTATATAAATCAGAGATGGAGAGAATGTGGGGTAGGGCTTGTCCAAGGAAGGGTTGGAAAGTGGGTAAAGGTGGATTAGAGCCTACACATTATTTGGTGTCTGCTGCCTGTACTAAAGAATGGATGTGAATGCTCAGTCTGAGAGATCTGAAGTGTTATGCCTAGGCACTTACAGCTACATGGCCATGAAATGTGTGATGGTGGACTGAGTTTCCTTCTTTGGGTCACCCTACCTTGGTGGGAAATTGTTGTAGTTGTTACCATCGGCACCTGCACTAGTGTACTGTGAGATTAACAGAATGCTGGAGTAAGTCATAGGCACAGAGGCGAGCCTGACATCTACTGTAGAAACAGGTATGCAGCGAATGTTTGGTGCTGGCCCATGTCAGGTTGTAGGCTGGTGAGAGAGTGAAAGAATGTGACCTTTGGCCTGATCAACATCACTCTAGTGAGTGAAACAGTATGTGATGCACTAAGCTCTAGACTTGACCAGATTCACTAGATGGCAGCACAGCTGCAAAGGCAGCAAGGTGCAAAATATGGAGGCCTGACTGGACTTCAAAATGATTTCTGGCAAGACAGCTACTGAATGAATAATGGTGAACAAATTTCATTCTTTGGGTCACTCAACCTTGTCGGAAAATGGTCAATGTGATATAAGAAAGTAAAAAGCAGATTAAATCCAGTTTATATGACATTTATTTTTTAACACACCGGCTGTCTCCCACTGAGGCAGAGTGACCCCCCCCCCAAAAAAAAAAGAAGAAGAAACACTCACCATCACTCACTTCATCACTGTCTTGCCAGTGATGAATACTACAGTTCAAAACTACAAACATCCCCACCTCTCCTTCAGAGTGCAGGCACTGTACTTCCCACCTCCAGGACTCAAAGTCTGTTACCTGTTCAGCCACAAATCTGAAGCCTTTATCCTCTCTGATGCACTCATAGGTCTCTCCAAGTAGAGGATTAAAGGGTTTATGAGCCGCACGGTATATTGATGAAGCATACGAGGAGACTGCAAAGGTTGCTACTTGAACCATGCGGTCTCCGGCATCTTCCAAACCTGCAGCTTTGTCTAACAGTTCACTGTATTCCAGTTCTTCACACATCCTCTGAAAGTTAAAGCAAATTTAGTGCCCACATTTTTTATATGGCTCTATAAAATTGGGCACTTATTCTAAATGAATGTTTTTACCAAAAATATTTTAATTTTATTGGAAAAAAAAAAAGTTCTCCAAGGGAAAGTGGAACAGAAGTCTTCCTCAGTAAGCCCTGAATGTTGTAAGAGGCGACTAAAATGTTGGGAGCAAGGGGCTAGTAACCCCTTCTCCTGTATACAGTACTAAAGTTAAAAAGACAAACTTTTTTCTTTTTGGGCCAACTGAGCTCAGTGGGATACAGCCAGTGTGTTGAAAAAAAGAAAAAAAAAAAACTGTATTTCCTATATTATTTTTTTCATCATACCGGACATCTCCCACCTTAGCAAGCGACTTGAAAAAAGAAGAAACCCTTAAAAGACTTTTCTTCTCTTTACAGTTAGTAATTTATACAGCATAAGGGGTTATTAGCACCTTGTTTCCAGCATTTTAGTCGCCACTTATGACACACACAGCTTATGGAGGAAGGATTCTTCTCCACTTACCCATAGAGTATCTCCTATATATATATATATACTAGAGAAAACAGAAAAACATATTGCAAAATATCATGTAAATAACCCACTATGTTATGGTTTTAACAGTCTGACAGATTAAAACCTTGATATAAGGAACTAATAGGGGATGACTGTCAGAGTAAGTTACGTCAAAATAATGTTAAGAATTTGGAAAAAAAACAAAAACATTTAAACTACTCTACTGTATACAAATACATTGAATATAAAAGGATTAAAAGTACAGTTTAACCAGAGGATTTTGGCCATAATTGCAAACGTCTACACAAATAACCCTCACATAGCAGAGAGAAGCTTATGGCGATGATCTGGTCCGACTTGGACCATTTACAGAGTCACACTAACACAAAAGATAGAGGGAGCCAGTACATATAGTGTGACTTTGTAAATGGTCCAAGACAGACCAAAACGTTGTCATAAGCTTCTCTCTCCTATGTGTGGGTTATTTGTGTATTGTTCCAGTCATTGTACTGCCTTTTTGTTTACTGCACAGTGTTTACAAACAACTTGATTCCTATAAAATGGCATACTGTACAGTACACAATTAGGATAAATAGGGTAAATAGGCACTAAAGTCAGCCTTAAAACTATATTAGAAAATGCGACATACAGAACATAAGAAGAATACTTAGTTTATATAATATTGAAGGGATTTAGTTCTTCAACACAAATTCAAATTAGAGATACAGTAGGACCCCCGTATCCGCGGGGGATACATTCTTAGACCAAACGTGGATACCCAAAACTGCGGACCCTAGCAAATCCTATATTTAAGTAATTTTTTGTTTACATACATACCTATGATAAGTTTAATTGATAAATTAAGCACAGTAAGTGGAGAAGTAACACCTTTTCACTGATGGGAAACACTTCACGACTTCTCCTAGGCTTTGAAGAACTGTCACTGTTACTGCTTTTGTGCTTTGGTGTCATTTTAAGCACGGTGCCTCGTGGCCTAGTGGCTAAAGCTCTCGCTTTGCACAGCGAGGGTCTGGGTTTGATTCCCAGCGGGGGTAGAAACACTGGCAGTGTTTCTTTACACCAGTTGTCTATATTCATCCATCAGTAATAATGGGTACCTGGGTGTTAGTGGCATCCTGGGTGTTAGTGGACTGGTGTGGGTGGCATCCTGGGACAAAACTGACATAATTTGCAGGAAATGCTCAGCATAACAAGAGAGATCTATATAGTAGTATGTCATTGATGTCAACTATGGTCTGTATACCTTGTACATGTACTTGTACTAAATAAAGATATTATTATTAACCCTTTAATTGCCGTGACCCCAAATCCTAAAATGTTTCTCTGTGTCGCAAAATATTTAAAAAAAAAAATTATTTTTTCTTATGAAATGACAAAGGATTTCTTCCCAATGGTAATGGCACCAAAAGTACGAAATCTGATAGAAAATTTATGGAATTACGCTCTTGCAAAGTTAGCGATCTCAGTGATACATACGCATCAGCAATTTTGCCCACTTTGAGCCCTATTTTCGGCCAATTCCACTGTTTCAGTCGACCAAACTCATAGTTATTTCTTTAGTACTCCATTTGTTCTATCAACTGAGTACAAGAAACTGCCTATTTACTGACTTCAACTACCCAATAAAGTGGTCAGAAATTGGCAATTTGGCCAATTTCATGCAGATTAAAAAAGATGCCAATTTCAAAATAGGGTCCAGAATGAACAATGCAGACATTCTTGGTACTAAAACATTTTCTCTGTTCATTAGTCATGTCTCTAGGCCTCTCTTATATTACTCTTGCTTTCTATTTTGAATTTTTATTCACAAAAAATAGAAGATTTACTGTTATGCAGACTACTGCATTATTGTAATAATTGTATAAATAATGTCAACCCATTCATGACTCCGTATTAGAATGGTTAGTTGGACACTTACTGGATGGTGACGTCATTTGTTTACTTGAACATCGGCAAAAATCCAACATTTCCGCTACTATGAGCTCAATTTCAAAGTCCTTTTCATTGTGAAACAAATCAAAATCATCTCTATGTCTGTAATATGTTTTCCTTCTAAGAAATGAGACTAAGAAAACGAGAATACAACCATAAATACTATACGAAAATACACCTCAAATTTGGCGTTTTCATCTAAAAACACGGTTGGAGTTTTTTTTTTCTCATTACGCACTGTGTGCTGCAGGATTCTTTTTTATACTTTGCACACTGACCACACAGACCCATTCTCTCACATGTAGGCCTACCAGCTTTCTCCCGCTTGATCTGAAGCCACTAGAATTTTGGCGTATTAATACATCAAAAACACTGGCTCATAAGACGAATATATATGACCAAAACAGTCAAAGGGTTAAAATTAAGGGTTATTTTTGGGCCAGGGTAGACCGCAGAAACCGGACCCGCTGATACGGTGGTACTACTGTATATTAAAGATGAAGCTAGGTACATGTATTGATACAAAAATATCTGCACATATACTTTTAGAAAAAAAGTTTATTATTATTTTAGCAATAAATAAGAGTTGAAGGAAGGATGGAACAAGAACAAGGACAATAATGGATGAAAGACAGGAATCCAGGATTTGTTAGGTAAATAGATACAGATTCAACTAAAGTAACATTTTATTGTGGCAATGTTTTGCTCTCCAGGAACCTGACAAAGCTCCTGAAGAGCAAAACATTGCCACAATAAAATATCACATTAGTTGCGTCTGTGTCCATTACATAACATTTTGTTGGTAATTCTACCATTATTACCAAGTTTCAGGATTCTTTGAGAATACAACTCACTTGCAGCATATTAAGAGGTTCATTTAAAATACTTTATTAGGCTATATTAAGACATTTGAGAATATAACTTACTTAAAACAAACAGAGGTTCATTTTAAGTACTATATTAAACTATATTAGGATGTTTGAATATATAACTTACTTGTAGCATATTGAGAGGTTCATTTAAAGTAACTGGCATACACACTTTGGATAAATCCTTGCCAATATTTTTGTATAAAAAGTTCCAGACAGAGAAGTCTTCGGTGAGAGGCTTGGGGGCGGGAAGACGTGTTCTGCGGCCCGTGAAACACTTGCCGTCTTCTTCAATTTCTGCTGCTGTAATACATAAGACGAGATGTACTTAATTTATCAATGTTTCGGTCTATTGCGCAAGTCTCTGTACCATTGTCATCCTCACAAGTGGTCATTATTAAGTCATCTTGCAACAGTGTATGTTTTTCCCCAAAATCAATCTTTACAAAATGCTATATTGTCTTCAGCTGCATTTTCTCAACTAGGCAAACACTAATATAGGCGGGGCCCTGCTTGTATACAGCACTTCACTTTATGGCATTTCGCTAATGCAGCGGTTTTCAATTACACCCATTCTTCATTTATTTAGACTTCCTACAATAAATACAGTGGACCCCCGCTTAACGATCACCTCCAAATGCGACCAATTATGTAAGTGTATTTATGTAAGTGCGTTTGTACGTGTATGTTTGGGGGTCTGAAATGGACTAATCTACTTCACAATATTCCTTATGGGAAAAAATTCGGTCAGTACTGGCACCTGAACATACTTCTGGAGTGAAAAAAGTTCGTTAACCGGGGGTCCACTGTATATGTATTCACCACTCACTATAAGCTAAGTACCACAGTATTTAACCCGTAAACGGTCCAAACGTATACATACGTTTTTTTCAACATTTGAAAGTATGTAAAAAAAGTAGATCTTCTTTTTGTTTTTCTACATTTGAAAATGTGTAAAAAACTCTGATCTACTTTTTTTTTGTTATATTTGAAAATGTGTAAAAAAAAACGTAGATCTACGTTTGTAGCACTATGCGTGAACGTAGATCTGCTTGGACCGTTTACGGGTTAAAGGCAAGTAATGTGTGTACTGTATATGCATTTTTTAGGCCTAGCTCTGTTGCTCACGTAATATATGACAGTGTAAACATGTTATCAGGCATTTATATACACCTACCATCCGACTTACGACCTGCTTGAATTACGACCACTTGACTTACGACCGTGTTTTTTATGCCAAATTTCTGGGAAATAAACAACTATTTGTGTTGTACAAAGTGTTTATCCTAAACCTTACAGTATAAAATACAGTACTAACAACATAAAAAGTAAAGTAAATTATGAAATACCAAAATAAAACAATAAAATAAAGTCATTACAAAAATGTTTTGCTGATATTCAGTAGTAAAGTTCGACTTACGTCCATTTCGACATACGACCGCTTTCTCGGAACTGAACTCGGTCGTAAGTCGGATGGTAGGTGTACATTTAAAAGTGAAAAGAGGCAATGGTTCACTTTACATTGATTTTCACTTTAGAGCAGTAGACCAGAACCTAACTTACTGTATAAGCGGGACCCTCCTGCACACAAATTTTATAGGAATCTATACTATCTATTATAGTCAAACACTGACTACATTTACATTCCAATGTTTGATATGCGCTGCAATGTTTTGCCAAAGAAATTGTTCTTTCAAACTTTCCCACATACATATTTAGAATAGGTTAGAAAAGTTGTTGGAACTTGTAATAATGGTAGAATTATTGACAAAATGTTTAGATAAATGGACTAATGTGACATTGTGGCAATGTTTTGCTCTCTGAGTGAAACGTTGCCACAATAAAATGTCACATTAACTGCATTTGCGTCCATTTACCTAACACTGCTAGAACTTGTTCAGATTTAGAATACAGTAGTCCCCCATATCCGCAGGAGATATGTTCCAAGACCTCCCATGGATACCTAAACCCTTTAAGTTGTTTTCCGTTTACATACATACTTATGATAAAGTTCACTTGACAAATTACACACAGTAAGTTAAGATTTAGCATTTTTTTTTCACTGATGGGAAGCACTTAACGGCTTTTCTTAGACTTTGAAGAACTGCCACCATGACCACTTTTCCCACTCTGGAGCAATTATTAAACAAAATTAAGGGTTACTGTCAGGCCACAGTAAACTTCGGATAAATGAAACCATGGAAACCTAATCCATGGATACAGGGATTCTACCGAACTTCTGAACTGAACAAGATCAGAATACCTCCATCTAAAAACTTTCAGTGCTTGACTGTAATACTAAGCTGCACATTTTACTAAAAAAAAGATGCAGATAAAATTACAGGAAACTAGCATGGGGGTGACAGGGTTTGAATGATATAGGGCTCTCTCACATGCATTCCATGCTGCTTAAATTTTGCAAAATAAGGGAAGAAAATGTTAAATATGTGAGAGAAAATATAGTACACAGGGGCAGCTCCAAAACTTTTGAGGGAGCTTAGTGAGAGAGTAAGTGTGTGTGTGTGTGTGTGTGTGTGTGTGTGTGTGTGTGTGTGTGTGTGTGTGTGTGTGTGTGTGTGTGTGTGTGTGTGTGTGTGTGTGTGTGTGTGTGTGTGTGTGTGAGTGTACTCACTTAATTGTGGTTGCAGGGGTCGAGACTCAGCTCCTGGCTCTGCCTCTTCACTGACCGCAACTGGGTCCTCCCTCTCCCTGCTCCATGAGCTTTATCATACCTCATCTTAAAACCATGTATAGTTCCTGTCTCGACTACATCGCTTGCCAGATTATTCCACTTCCTAACAACTATGACTGAAGAAATACTTCCTAACATCCCTTTCACTAATCTGAGTCTTCAGCTTCCAATTGTGACCCCTTGTGTCTGTGTCCCATATCTGGAACATCCTGTCTCTGTCCACCTTGTCTATTCCTCGCAATATTTTGTATGTCATTATCATGTCTCCCCTGACCCTCCTGTCCTCCAGTGTCGTCAGACCGATTTCCCTTAACTTTTCTTCATAGGACATTCCCCTTAGCTCTGGAACTAGCTTTGTTGCAAACCTTTTCACTTTCTCTAATTTCTTGATGTGTTTGTGTGTGTGTGTGTGTGTGTGTGTGTGTGTGTGTGTGCACGCACGCGTGTGCGCATGTGCATGTGTTAGAGGAACCGTTTGAAGAATTTTCATTAAAGAATAAAAAGACAACACCGTGACTGGAACAATACACAAATAACCCGCACATAGGAGACTGACACTTATGACAACATCTGGGTCTGACTTGGACCATTAACTAATCACACTGTGTGACTAGCTAATGGTCAATTAGTGTGGTCACACTAATGGTCCAATAACCATTAATTAACTAGTCCAATGGACTAGTTAATTAATGGTTAATGGTCCAAGTCGAACTGAAATGTCATAAGTTTTTTCCATGTGCAGATTATTTGTGTGGTACTTTCATCATAATCATTATTATCATTACTATTATTATTATTATTGGGGGTTGATGTAGTTACTGGTGCTGCCCCTGGGAGTACATTACGTATATCTGAAAATCAATAATTTAATAATGTACCACAATTGTCAAAGCAATATTTAATCAACAGGTACCCAAGGTATTATCATTTAAACATACTAAATACCAACCAGTGATCATAAAAAAAAAAATAATGTGCCTCTTGGCTAATATTGGTGTACAATGTAGATGAGCATGTACAGTGGTACCTCAAGTTACGAACTTAATTCATTCCAGAAGGCTGTTCGGGTGCCATTACCGAATGAATTTGTTCCCATAAGGAATAATGTAAATTAGATTAGTCCGTTCCAGACCCCCAAAAATACACTTACAAAAACACTTACAAAAAAACACTTACATAATTGTTCGAGTTGGGAGCTGTTAGAAACTCAAGGTACCACTGTACTTATATTAAGCTTACTAATTCTAAACGAAAGCTCTTGATTTGGAAAACTCGTGAAAATAAAAGCGCACATTACTACATTTTAGTGAATGTGCATCAAATCAAATCAAAATTAAATTAAATCAAATTAAATCAAAATCAAAATTAAACCATACTCAAATCAAAATCAAAATTAAATCATTATCAAATTAAAATCAAAGTTAAATAAAAAATAAAAATAAAATTTTATTTTTTGTGTACGTGTCGTTGACAATGCAAGATTTACACATTATGAAATATTGTTAATTACAAAGAAAGCCACTAACATGCCTAAGCCTTTCTGGTACTCTAATATTTATATTTACACACTACTTAAAACTAGACACAGGCTACTGAGAGGTAAATTTTAATTATTTTATTATAAAAAAGAGAGATAGCAAAAGTTTTTTTTTTTTTTATTATCACACTGGCCGATTCCCACCAAGGCAGGGTGGCCCGAAAACGAAAAACTTTCACCATCATTCACTCCATCACTGTCTTGCCAGAAGGGTGCTTTACACTACAGTTTAAACTGCAACATTAACACCCCTCCTTCAGAGTGCAGGCACTGTACTTCCCATCTCCAGGACTCAAGTCCGGCCTGCCAGTTTCCCTGAACCCCTTCATAAATGTTACTTTGCTCACACTCCAACAGCACATCAAGTATTAAAAACCATTTGTCTCCATTCACTCCTATCAAACACGCTCACGCATGCCTGCTGGAAGTCCAAGCCCCTCGCACACAAAACCTCCTTTACCCCCTCCCTCCAACCTTTCCTAGGCCGACCCCTACCCCGCCTTCCTTCCACTACAGACTGATACACTCTTGAAGTCATTCTGTTTTGCTCCATTCTCTCTACATGTCCGAACCACCTCAACAACCCTTCCTCAGCCCTCTGGACAACAGTTTTGGCAATCCCACACCTCCTCCTAACTTCCAAACTACGAATTTCTCTGCACTATATTCACACCACACATTGCCCTCAGACATGACATCTCCACTGCCTCCAGCCTTCTCCTCGCTGCAACATTCATCACCCATGCTTCACACCCATATAAGAGCGTTGGTAAAACTATACTCTCATACATTCCCCTCTTTGCCTCCAAGGACAAAGTTCTTTGTCTCCACAGACTCCTAAGTGCACCACTCACCCTTTTCCCCTCATCAATTCTATGATTCACCTCATCTTTCATAGACCCATCCGCTGACACGTCCACTCCCAAATATCTGAATACATTCACCTCCTCCATACTCTCTCCCTCCAATCTGATATCCAATCTTTCATCACCTAATCTTTTTGTTATCCTCATAACCTTACTCTTTCCTGTATTATAATGAAAAGCATACAAACTGGTTCTGAGGTAGTCTTTAAGGGGTAGAATTAGTCTGCTCAAAATGCATTGCAATCTAGTGGTTTTCTTTTGTGCCTAACGGCAAGACAATGACGGCGAGAGTGATGATGGAAATATTTGTTCTTTCTTGGGTCACTTTGCCTTGGTGGGAAACGGCCAATACGTTAAAAAAAAAGATAATGTTTTATTAAATGTAAAGTACATTATCTTTGTATTGCATAAAAATTAATAAAATTTTCAATTTGATTTAGTAAACTTAAATTTAATGGACTAAAAAAGACGACAGCGGGTGGTCAGTAAAATTTATTTTGTATATCCAGGAAAGTTGAGGTATCTGGTGGAATAATAGTCTTTGGAGGCGAGATTGAAATTTACTGGGTATGTGGTACACAGGAGCTGGATGGAACTAGCCCACGCCAGGACGAGGGCTTGTGAGAGAACTAGGAGGGAAGGATCTTGATACTAGTGTGTCTGTGGAGGTAGTGAGAATGAAACAGTATCTGGTGCAGCCAGCTTGAAATTGAATCAGGCCCACCAGATGGCAGCACAAGTGCATGTGCATGAAATATGAGGCCTGACAGTGGTTACATATGAAGAGATGTGAGCGCTCTGATGTGACCAACACTAAAACGACTGTTCAGCAACCAACAGACTTTTTTTAATCAATCGATCAAACAAATTTCTTACTATTTCTTAAGTGCAGTAAATTAAGATCCATCAAATCGATTGTTTACTGTAAAAACAGGTGTGTAAGGAGAGCCTCTGACTTATTTAGAAATATGTTATACACTGTATGTAAATACAGCACTGTACTACAATACAGATCTTCCTGAGATTGTCCAAAAATATAGAAATAAAGGCATAAAGTTCTTGACAAATAGAGTGCTACGATGAAAACTCAGTTTTGAACCAGGGGTTATTTTTCTCTGTCCAATTAACATTAAAGTAACAACTTAATCTCGGTAACAGTACAGTACAGTGGGACCCCATCTTATAATGTTAATACAGTCCTGAAAATTCATTGTAAGTTCAATGTTCAGTGCTCAAAGCCTATTCCATAGAAACTCATACTATAATCATGCATTCCCAGCAGCAACAGCCTGGTTGATCAGGCTAGCACCAAACGAGCCTGGCCTAAGGCCAAGCTCTGGGAGCAGAAAAAAAAAATTGCAACTCATTAAAGGGATATCAAAGGTAAAGACAATATCAAATTTCAGTTAATGTTTTCCAAAGAATTTGTATTCTATGGTTTACATTTAACAGTCTTCTTTTTATTACAAGTTGTATTAAATATTATTTAATTTATGTATTTATGTTAATTAAAGAAGAGGTCTACAATATTCTTTACATTATACTCTCCTCTCCTTTTCCTTATTGATGTGTTGAGTGCGTTGTGAGATGATGTAAGTACAGGGACAAGCATACCTCACTCACTTTCCCGCACTCTCATTCACTCACTTTCCGGCTCTCTCATTCACTCACTCATTTTCCCGCTCTCTCACTCTCACTCATTTTCCCACTCATTCTCTCTCACTCATTTTCCCTCTCCTTCTCTCTCATTCACACTCAAATACACATGTGCACACACACACACACATACACTCTCTTGCACAAATTCATGTACTCTCATGCACAGGCTCACACACACACACACACGCATGCACACACACACACACACACACACACACACACACACACACACACACACACACACACACACACACACACACACACACACACACTCACACACTCACACTCACACTCTTTCATTATTCTCTTCACCACCAGCCTCTCCTGCATCATATCAACAAACTTTATTTTTTTTTGTGTGTAGTACGTATACAAAATGTAGTTTACATGTAATAAAATACGGTAAGCACAAAGGAAAGTCAATAACATGCAGTGTATTTCAGGCAGACTAATTCTTATACACTACTCATTACATTTGTCCAACACTGCTCATAATACTCATTACGGTGAGGATTAATGAGTGAGAGTCATGTACGAGGCCGCAGTGGCAGCGCTACTATGAAAGTAATGAAGCTTAAGCTTCAGGGACCCTAATCCCAGAGGGGCCCCAAAAGCGACTTCAGTCTACATTGCTTAAAAATTTGGATCTACTGCATAAGGGGTTGCAAAGACCCCCCCCCTCTCCCCCAACAGTTCAAGCTTTGGGGGCCCCAGAAATCAGTCACTCTTAAGATAGGCTTAAGCTTGCTCAAAATGCTCTGCGTAATCAAGGGCTTTCTGCATGCATTCAAGTGTCACTTATTCCTGTCTCCCACTGAGGGTGGCCCAAAAAGGAAACACTTTCACCATCATTCACACTATCACTGTCTTGCCAGAGATGCACAGATATGATAGTTTAAATATAAATGATGAATTGTGTGCAAATAAATGCTGAATTTGAGTGAAAGGACGCGTGGGGATGTCGTAGTTCTAACAGTCATCAGAACTGTGATGTCAGCAAGGCTCTGGCAAGAGACTGACTGACGAATGTTTAAAGTGTTTCATCTTTTTCAAGTCACCAGACCTTGGTGGTAGACAGTTGGTGTGTTAAAACAAATAATTATTATGTGAGAAAAAAAACACGTTACAGGTGGGGGGTTAGAACCCATGGTAAGTGAGTTGTAAAACTCCAGGTCAGTGAGTAAGCCACTGGGCCAACTGGCTGACAATGACAAGTTTATTTTAGCATGATACCTGTTTGTGCAAAGGAGTGTAACAATTTGGTGAACATACTTAGAGCCCCTATATATGCAGAGCATTTTGGGCAAACTTAAGACTAATTTAAGATTAATAAGGCAATAACTAGGTATATTTATATAACATAGGGAAGTTAGCATGGGCCACACTGGTCAGAGACATGGCCACAGGGGCGCTGATCCCTGAAACCCTCTCCAGGTATGCCACTGTGGTCAAAGTGGGGCGCATGCTAACCTCCCTATGGTGTATAAATATACCTAGTTGGATGAACTGTAGCCAGCTGACCCAGTGGCTTATGCACTGGCCTGGAGTTTGTGACTCACTCGCCATGGGTTATAATGCCACCCATACTGTGGTTTATTTATAATAGTGTTATTACAATCTTGTGAGCTAGTTACTAAATGCCCATTATAAGCAAGTGTTGGAAGCCTGGTGAGATATTGCGAGTGTTTGTGCCAAGAGTGAGTGAGAGGTGTTCGTTTATGACTGTGCAAAGCGGAGGTTTGCATTTATTATATTCACAGGGAAGCGCTAAACCCAGAGGGGTTATGCAGCACCTACAAAATAAAAGGTAATGAGGTTTGATCTGATGGAAGGATAGCTTTAATTCCTTGGTTTGAACCAATAGTAGGATAGCTTCAGTTCCTTGGTAAGAACCAACAGAAAGAAGAGCTTCAGTTCCTTGGTAAGAACCAACAGAAGGAGAGCTTCAGTTCCTTGGTCTGAACCAACAGAAGGAGAGCTTCAGTTCCTAGGTCTGAACCAACAGAAGGATAGCTTCAATTCTTTGATCCGAACCAACAGAGCAATAGCTTCAATTCCTTGGATCAAGAGCCATTTCCCAACATCAAAGCACCCCTCTTCATGAAAGCTCATGCTCATACGAGACTTTAGTACATATCAAAATAAACAAAATATATTTGCACAAAGGTAGTGAAGCATTACAAGTGCTCTAAACTACTGTACATTATTACAGAGTACACTTACTGACGTCCTCACTGTCAGCCACTATAGAAAACAGGAAAACAGACATTGATAAAAATTATTTGTTGTGTCAAGAATCTCTTATGAAACTTCAAATACAGTAAACCCTCGATATAACAAACCTCGATATAATCGACTTTCAAAATAATGGACAATATCTACTTCATACATTATATTTTAAGTTCCTTTATTTTACACAAATAACCTGCATATAGGAGAAAGAAACTCAGACTACATTTTGGTCCGACTTGGCCCTAAACATCATACGTTTCTTTCTCCCGTATGCAGGTTATTTGTATATTATTCCAGTCACAATACTGTAACTTTTTATGCTCCTTTATTTTCATTGTTTATCCCAATAACTATAAACTGTGTGTACAATACTATATTAGGTATACAGTAGAAAACTTCAGTGTTTAATCTAATTTATTTACAGGTCAACCATCATTAAACCAGCATCATTGGGACTATTGAATTCCTTAACAGACTCATGTACTGATCTGATAAAGTTAACTGCACTCAGTAGGCACCTCATGACATAGGTGCGATACTTACACTAGCTGAAATTATTGCCAGATTAGTGATGGAACTGGATTAGCGATTAGTGACAGCCGACCTGTACCTTATTCCAATTTAAAAATCACTTGGACAATCCCTTATTACTCCATTATATCCAGGGTTCACTGTAAATCTTTCCTATATCACAATTAAGGATCAAAATACACTACAAGCACCAAGATTTTATTGCTTATTGTCAAATGTTTGTACAACTTTTATCTTCTAAACAGACCTAGTTTCTAGTGCTTAACTTTACATACAACATTATCACAGGTGAGCATTGCTGATGCTACATATGGAAGACATCTGTACACTGGTTACATGTCACCCTACATGCTGAATAAACCATACCACGGGTGGGGATAGAACCCGCGATCAGAGAGTCTCAAAACTCCAGACTGCCACGTTAGCCACTGGACAACCAGTGGTTAATGCGACGGTCTGGAGTTTTGAGACTCTCTGATCGCGGGTTCTATCCCTGCCCGTGGTAAAGTTTGTTTGCAATCGTGTCATTACGATTTCGCGAGTACATGCTGAATGGTAGTTCACATGCACATTGGAAAACAATAATGAAAATTGTTAAGTAAAAGGACACAAGTGCAACTAATGTGACATTTTACTGTGGTAACATTTCATTCTCCAGGAGCTTTGTCAAGGACCTGGAGAGTGAAACGTTGCCACAATAAAATATCACATTAGTTGCAAATGTCCTGTTACCTAACAGTAATGAAAATGTAAATTTCGACTTCCAATCAGGGCCTTCATTTTGCTGAAGAGTACCCCAGTACGGAGCCAAAATCTACATTCTTAACTCATAATAACATGACTGCAAACAAATCACAGAATGTGTGGGTTTCAAACCCATGTCAGGCGAGTCCTAAAATTAACAGGCCAGTGGTTAACAATACACAAATAACCCACACACAGGAGAGAGAGAAAGAAGCTTATGATGACATTTTAGTCCAACTTGGACTGAAACGCCATCATAAGCGGCGACTGTTCTATGTGTGGGTTATTTATGTATTCTTCCAGTCAAAGTATTGTGACTTTTTGTTCTTCAGAGGTTAACACACTAACCTGTCTGTCAAATTTAAGAGTCCTCAGCCATGGGTTCGAGCTCTGCCCATTCCCTGATTTTTACAGTTTTATTTCAACTGGTATTTTCCAGTCTATATGTGGACTATGAATTAGACACATATGCAACATTTTTCAAGATTGATGCACTGATCACATCGACTCCAGGCTGAGGGCCTGATTACCTCAAACTCGTCCTCTTCATCTTCCACTTTTCTCTGCACTGGACTGAAGAAGCCACTGGTTGGCAAAACATTTCAACAATATACACAAGTGTTGCACAGGTGTCTAATTCATAAATCCTGTAAGTTCGCTGAACTATTTATCGACACATGTGGACTACCCTCCAGTACAGACAAATGTTTATTTCACTTATCCTCATTACCTTACATGCTCAATAACACACATGGAGACAGAGACTCAAAAAATTACTGTGTTTTGTGTCGTTGAATAAGCTATTTTTTTTCCCAAAAAAATTTCAGAAATTTACCCAGCATCTTGGAGGCCAAAGTACCATTTACCTTTTTTCAGAATGGGGGGAGGGGTGGGGTCCTCAACACCGGAGCATCTTGTTTGCCATAAAATACGGTAACTGATCTGTATACAGCCTCTCCTCACTTAATGATGGAGTTCTATTCCTAAGACTATATCAGTAAATGAATTCATCACTAAGTGAGGAGCAGACTATAATAGTAGTGGGTTTATGTCCACCATCTTTGATATTGTTTTAATGTCACCTTTGTACCATTTATAATATTTTTAGTATATTTTTAAATTTTTATACAGTAGTGTACTGTATATTGTAATAAACAGAATAGAGGAAATCAACTCTAATATACGTACATTATTTAGGTATGCATACTGGTCAGAGAGCTCATCCTAAGTCCGAGTCGTTGGTAAATGAGTACATCGCTAAGTGAGGAAAGGCTGTATTTTGATCCTTTTCTGGGATCCTCTTCAGTAGAAACATAAGTGAAATGAGAACATGAATATATAAAGAAGGTTGCCTAAGTATTTTCATGTCCTCCTTTCATTTATTTATCTACTGAAAAGGACCCCAGAAAGGGTATGAAATATACAGTTCAATCATCCTCCTGAGTTTCTGTCTCCAGGGGGTTTATTACTGAGCATTGGCAAGTGTTCATTACACTTCAGTTATTCATTACCCTACACATGGAAGACACTTCTACAGTTGTTATACATCACCATATATGCTCAAGGGTACCTCACATGTAGACAAGAAAACGGCGATGGAAATGATGTTGAAATGAATGGCAATGCAATCAAAATCTACAATTTCATTTCCAATGCTGTTTTCCCGTCCACACATGGGCTAACCCTGAACATCGAGAAGTGTTCAATACACTCATCATGATCATCTACAGTAAGTCCTCAACTTAAGTGTTCAATATACTCATCATGATCATCTACAGTAAGTCCTCAACTTAAGTGTTCAATACACTCATCATGATCATCTACAGTAAGTCCTCAACTTAAGTGTTCAATATACTCATCATGATCATCTACAGTAAGTCCTCAACTTAAGTGTTCAATATACTCATCATAATCATCTACAGTAAGTCCTCAACTTAAGTGTTCAATATACTCATCATAATCATCTACAGTAAGTCCTCAACTTACAAGCACATTGTGGAGAGTCTGAATTATGTATAGTATTCATAATATAGGAAGTAGTCTTCAACTTACGATCATGTTGGGAACTTCTCCTCACTTAACGATGGAGTTCTGTTCCTCAGACCAAGTCGTTCAACAAATTCATCGCTATAATGGTAGTGGGTTTGTGTCAACCATCTTTGATATTGTTTTAATGTCACCTCTGCACCATTTATAACATTTCTGGTACATTTTTAAATGTTTATACAATAGTGTACCGTATATTGAAAAGCAGAATAGAGGAAATCTGCTCTAATATACATCATTTAAGTATGAATACTGGTCAAAGAGCCTGTCGTAAGTCCAAGGAGTCGGTAAACGAGTACATCGCCAAGCAAGGAGATGCTGTATAATAATAATACAGTGGACCTCCGGTTAACGATATTTTTTTCTCTCCAGAAGTATGTTCAGGTGCCAGTACTGACCAAATTTGTTCCCATAAGGAATATTGTGAATTAGATTAGTCCATTTCAGACCCCAAACATACACGTACAAACGCACTTACATAAATACACTTACATAATTGGTCGCATTCGGAGGTAATCGTTATGCGGGGGTCCACTGTATACAGTAGGGCTCCACCTACATGGCAGGTTAGGTTCCAGGCTACTGCCGGAAAGCAGAATGCCATTTTTTTCATTTATAAATTAGTAATATAACTAGGCATTAAAAACAATAAAAAAGTAAAATACACACATAGTACACTCATTATTTACCTCAAAATATTTGTAGTCTTAACCCTTTCAGGGTCCAGAGGCCAAATTTCAAAGTGTGCATCTGGATTTTCAAAAAATAATTTTGTTATTTTTTCTTATGAAATGGTAGAGAATCTTTTTCTGAAGGTAATAAAACAAAAAGTATGAAATTTGATGGAAAATTGACAAAATTATGCTCACGCATATACAGTACACTCGCTACTTACCTTAAAATATTTGTAGTCTTAATGTAGGGTGAGAGGTGAGTAAATGATATAAAAATGAATAAATGAGAGAGAGAGAACAAGTAAATGAGAAAGGACAGAGCCACAGAGTATGTAAACAAACAGACGAACACGGCTGGTGGGCTGATACACGTTCATTTCCATACTTGTAAAGCTTTTATCATAATACAAACACTTTACGTTGTGTACAAGTTGTCTCCACAGTGGTACAGTAGAATAAATAAAGACCAACATTTCCATTCTCTCGTAATTTTTAGAAGGAATGATGCTCTGACAAAATATTTTATTATTATTACATATTATTATTATTATTACAAGTTGTTGTTATTATTACAATATGATATTATTATTACAAGTTATTATTGAAATCATTCGTATCATATAGTTTATTTGGACATGATACATAGTTGTACAATGAATTACAGTAGTTGGGTGTACATGCCAAAAGCCCCTTGTATGCAAGCATAATAAAAAAGAAGTGCTAAACCCACAAGAGTCATGAATAACTATAGATAGAGGGAAGGCATATGATAGGAATAAATTTCTAGTTAAGTTACTGGTGTTTGACTAGAGAAAACGTAATTCTTCCGACTCTCCCTCGAACCGCTTAGTAAACAAATCTCATATTTATGTCCATTTTTATACTGTGGGTGTATGTGTTGCAACCCCTGAATGGGTTACAATGTATATTACATGTATATTACATTTTCATATAATTTTATATTGCTTATATTTGCAATAATAGCTAAATCGCGAATATATTGCTTTATATTATTAT